GCGGGAGGCGAGGCGGGCCCGCGATACAGCAAGGAGAAAAGGGACGCCATCTCGCTGGCCATCAAGGACATCAAAGAGGCCATCGAGGAGGTGAAAACCAGGACCATCCGTTCGCCTTACACCCCCGACGAGCCCAAAGAGCCTATCTGGGTCATGCGCCAGGACATTAGCCCCACGAGGGATTGTGACGACCAGAGGCCGGTGGATGGAGATGTAAGTATGCGCGGGTTCGGGCTCCAGCGCCGCGCGGGGACTTGCTTGCCACTGGTGAAATGACTTCACGAGATTAGTGGTCTGTGGGGACGCTCAAAACGTGTCCACCGCGAGCCTCGGAGACTGCTTGCGCTTACGAGCCCCTGAGCGAAACACGGGTGGGATGGAGTTCAGGTGTGGAACGCGTTTTTCAGACCCTTTGAAGGAATGGCTGTAAATCGCTGGTTCTCAAACTCTGCCCCGAGCGGTTTCTCACTTAGAAGGCTGGGGTGAGGCCTGAGAACTTGTAATTTTAATGTCCAAGAAAAACCAAGTCCGGATTGTGCAAGGAGAGACTTTATCGGGAAGGCTTTTTTTGCAAAGGGGAGAAAGGTATTCTTTTAACAGGGGATGGGCCCTATTGCAATAGGAGAACCTCTGATTATAGGGTCCGCAAGGGTCTCTGGGGCTGGGCAAAAAGAGGGTCTCCTTTCTAGGGAGGAGTAAACAGGACTAGAAAGAAGGCGTTGTGCGGAAGTGGGGTGAAAGCCCGGCTTGAATGCCTTGCAAAAGAGCGTATGTTTTAACCCGAGGTCAGCCTGTTCTCCAGAGGCCGTTTGAGGAGGGGGTGTGGGGTGTAGGCTGGCTAAAAGTTCAAGGACCTGGAGGAAGGAGAAAAGCTCAGGTGAAGATTGGTTAGCGGACATTTTGTTCTGACAAAGCTGGGCAGTTCAGCTAATCACCGTCCGGCAAAGGTGAATTTGGAGGGTCTGTGTCTGGCCTTGTCATAGGTAAAAAAGAAAAAAAAGGGGGGGGGGACACCTGTGAGTCTTCCGTAAGTCATATGGGTAGGGGGTGGTCTTTGCAGGAAGCCATTTCCAGAGCACAAAAGGGTAGGGGAGGTTTCCTTAACGTTCGTTGTTTTCGGGCATCACAGGGCTCAGGTGAAGTTCAACACTGTCAGCTAACAGGTTTGCAGGTGGTATTGATGCTGCTGGTCGCGGGGCCACAATTTGAGCCCCTTAAGGGATTGGAGCCACCCTGTGGCATCCTTGGAGGATGTCAAGGAGATCCTTCTGAGCTTTTTCCTGCCAGGGGCTCTGCGGTTTTTCACCGACACCCTGGGTCTCACTGTGGCTTTTAGTTTAAGTGCTCAGTTTCCATTTCTGGTGGACGCGGGGCACCCTTCTCCCCAAAAGACCTGCTTGGGGTTTAGAACTTCGTTGTGCTTCCTCGGGAAGAGGTACAGAAAGCTATCGCTGCCTCTGCCAACATTTTATTTTCCATTTTTGGAATACCTAAAGAAATGTGATAACATGGCAAGCTTGGGTGTCACAGTCCATTCAAAATAAAGAAAGAAGACAACTTTGCCCCCACCACCTGGCGTTCAAGATTCTTTTGCGCTCTCACTTTTCCATTCTCTTGAATACTTTCATTTAAAATGGGAGCTTGGACTAAAAGAAGGCCTAGGAGGTTCAATTTGATTTCATTTAATTCTGCCTTCTGTGATTGCACCAGGTTATTTCTCAGTATATCTTTTGGAGTGAGAAGCCATTACTGGAATCTCTTTGCTCATCCTACTTAACCGTGAAGGGCTATGCAGGTCAGGGGTATCATTCACCTCCGCTTTGAGTAACAGTCAACATTTGCCAGTAGCTAATTAAATCGCCGGCTCCCTTAATAAGGAGAGGTGGAAAACCGGTGAGGAAAGGATCTGCGTCCTCCCCAGCAAGGGGGTAGCATTGGGTCAGTTAGTTCATCGTCGCTCCGTGTCTCTCCTCTGTTGTCCGGGCTTCTCGTAGAACTGGTAAGACAGGTGCCTTCGTGTGTAGATTTCTTCCTGACCTCCACCTGCCTCCAGGTTCCTCCTGGCAAGGAGGGAAATATTGCAGCATTTTGCACATGTAGTGGGAAAATGGAGCAGGTTTTCAAAGGTAAGGAGCGGGCAAGAGGCCGAGTTCCATATCCTTTTGGAACCTTGGAAATCCATCAGAGAAAAAGATGCAGGAGCATTAGGTCCAGGTGCTGGCTTCCTCCTCCAGCTTCCTTCCACGCACCAGCTCCTTGACGTAACCGGCTTCCCCCCGTTGTCGCTGCAGCCTCTCACGATGAGCCCACAGCACAGCCTATCTTAGGGCTGGGGCTTGCTTTGATTCATTTGAACTAGGAGACCAACTTAAACCTCTTGCATGATGCTTCACTCAAAAGGTGGAATTGATGATAGGACATCAGGTGATGCTTTAGAAATTCATACTGGCAGATATTCAGCTTGATGCTGGAAGATTGGTGAGTAGGGCTTACTAGGTTATGACGAGTTACTACAAAGCAAAACCCAAAGTCTGCTTTAAAATATTCCCCCAGTCAGTTGGAAGCTGTTTGAATTTGTGAGTTGTATTTCATCTGTCCTTCCGTGTTCATGGTAAAGACCTTCATTTCCTACGTCTTTGATGGTATTATGAGGGAAAAATAGAAGTCTGTACATTCTGTTGATTTCCATCTCAGCATCAAAAAATATTTACTTGAATGCCCTTTCTGTGTATGCTGTTGTAGAAAATGAAAAAGCCCTGCTAAACTGGTCTGAGGTCAGTCTGGAAGGTTCTTGTTGAAAATACAAATTACTGCCTTTTCCAGATTAGAATGTCTAAGGGATATGTTTTTTTGTTTGCTTTGTTTTATTTTGTCAATTCTTCCTGTGATTCTTCAGCATATAAAAGATTAAGAACCACTGATTCACAGGGGGGAAAAAATGTATCAGGGCAGTTTCACCCTGTACAATCTGTGGATTTGAGACTAAGGTACATGTTTTATTAGCCCAGGTCTGGTTTTAGCAAAGGGGACTGTCTTCCCTTGGTCATGGTCAGCAGACCTAGAGAAATAGCCTTGGAATGCATTTTCAAATGGCATGATCAGGGACACCTGGGTGGCTCAGTTGGTTAAGTATCCAGCTCTTGATTTCAGCTCAGGTGCTGATCTCAGGGTCATGATCTCAGAGTCGTGAGATCGAGCCCTGCATCAGGCTCCATGCTCAGCGCTCGGAGTCTGCTTAAGATCCTCTCCCCCTGCCCCTCCTCACCCCCTCAAGGTTTCTTTCTCTCTCTCTCTCTCTCAAAAAAAAACTAACAACAACAACAAATGGCATGATCAGAAGCTACAGTGAGCACTTAGAGGGAAATAAAAAACACATGCATTACCACTTGCCGGCGATAACTGCTGATTTGCTGAACCTGCTTTTAATGCCCCTTCTCATTCCCTCAGAACGCCAGTGTTTTGCTCTTCACTGGGAGCAGACTGGCATTTGTTAATGGGTGAACGTGAAGATTGGACTGCTTGTTAGCCAGGACCTGAGCATGTACTAGAAGCTGAGCACTGATCGAAAATGACTGGTTTTTGGAAACTGTAACGACCTGTAGGTGCTTTGCTTCTGCTAAAGATTTCTCTATTCCAAATATATCTGAAAACTACCTCCCAACCCCCTTCTGGGAAAATATCGTTAAGGAATGACTAGTTCTGAAAAGTTACCTGGCCTACCAGCCTCTCTTTAGGCAACAGAATCATTCTGAGTGGAGAAGAGAGGCATGGTGGAATCAGAGAGAGGTAGGAGCAAGCATACGGTGGCGGTTGGAGGGTTTTGGTTATTTTGAGCGGGGTGTTGTGCAGATGCTGGTTATCTCTGCGCTGTCTTAAAGCTACACTAAAATGACAATACAATATTAAAAACGTGTAAAGCCGCAAGCGCCGAGAGCCAGCAGTCGAAGAGAACAACACAGTTTTGGAACACCAGCGTGGTGACCGGCTGCCGTAGACAGGGGTGCTTCCCAGGATGTCCACTTGTCCTCTTCCTTCAAGCATGGGGAGGACGGCACTGCCCCTCCCCAGCCCCTGGAAGTGAGGCATGGCCCCTGAAACGGGAGCAGTGATGTGTGGTGCTGCTTCTGGGCAGGGGCAGCTCAGAGCAGGCTTCTCCCCCTGAAGCCTCATGTTAAGATGGCAGGGTCACAAGACAGCAGAGCCTCTGTCCGCATAGGTCCCAAGGGACCATGATGAGCAGGGCTCCCTGATGACCCTGGGGGACATGTAGCATGAGAGGGATCCACTTCTGTCGTTTTCAGCCTTGGGGATTTGGAGTGGTTGTTACCACAGCGTGGCCTGATCGATTCTGACTAATAACACCGAGGAGGTTTCTGTTGACTCTGCCATTTGTCTGTGAGGAGGTGTGCTGTGGATCTCCAAGAAAGGCTCAGGAATTTGAGACGCCACGTACCTCAGACGGCAGGAGTCTGGCTACAAAAAAAAAAAAAAAAAAAAATTGTTTGAAAGTCTGTCACCAGAGACATTGGATTCCTTCGCCAGCCCGGGCCCTGGGTTACCACTCCCCCCTCAGCCCCACAGAAGGTGGCAGGTTGACTGTAGGGAAGGGGTGACTCAGAGAAATGCTGGAACTGGGGACACTAGCCACAGCTGACAATGGGAATGAGGCTCCTTATGGAACGGGCCTACTCAGCAGTGAGGCTGTGAGAAGGCTGTAGAATTCTTAGCTGTCAGGCTTAGAACACAACCCCCGCCCCCCGCCCCCCGGCCCCGTGCGGGAGGTTTCCTCAGGATTCCTCTCTGAGGAAACAGGCCCAAGAGCAGGTACGTACAGATGCTCGTGTTTGGGGGCTTCCAAACCCAACACCTGGGGCCCCACCTGACCACTCCGCAGTGAAGATTACTGCCTCTCGTGAAGCTTCCAGTGGGCTTTTGGGGGACCCACTGTTAAGTAAGAGTGAACACCCAAGGACCACCAAACATCTGAAGAACGTCTATATGAATGGCAAAGACACAAAACAAATGGGAAGAGGAACTTAAAGAAATAAAGGCCGTGCTCAGAGCAGGAGAAAACTGTAAAACACTTCCTGTTCCTCAGAAAGGGGGAGGTAAGGGAGCTAACAAATTAGACCAGGATGCCATCTTAAAAAAAATCCCCCCCCCAATTTTTTAACTAGAAAATGTGACAGCACAAATTTAAAATGTTTTAAATC